CCTCAGAAAGATGGAGAGGGACAAGGGGAGTGAGGGAAGGTTATGCTTTAACCTAACTCTAACTCTAACCTATAACCCTAACACCCTAACCTATAGCCCTAAACCTAACAACCCTAGACCCTTGATCCTGACACCTCAGCTCTAATCCCTGACCCTGACCATTACCCTCTACCCTGACTATCCAACTCTGACCATAATCTTAAACCCTGACACCTAAGCCCTGACACTGACTCTGGCAGCAGACCTTAATCCTAGCAAAGTGGATACCAAGGAATGACTCTATAATCTCTCAAATAAACCAAGGGAATAAATCTTCATGATCTTGCATTTAGCAATGGTTTCTTAGATCTGACATCAAAGCACAAGCAATGAAAGAAAAAATAGATATATCGGATTTCCTCAAAGTTAAAAAATTTATTGCATCAAAACTGCTATCCAGAAAGTAAAAAGACAGCCCACAGAACAGAAGAAAATATTTGCACATCATATATCTAATGAGTCTGTTATCCAGAACATATCAAGAAACTCAACAACAAAAACACAAAGAACTCAGTTTTTAAAATGCACACAGGACTTGACCAGACTCTTCAGAAAAGACATACAAATGGTCAACATACAATGGAAAAGATGTCAAACATCAGTAGTCATGATGGATATGCAAATTCATACCATAATTCAATACACCTTCAAACACACTAGAATTGTTATAGTCAAGAAAAATAAAAAATAACTAATACTGGCAACAATGTAGAGCAAATGGAACTGTAAACATTGCTTGTGGAAATGTAAAATGATGCAACCTATGTGCACAATACTTTGACATTTCCTCAAAAAGATAAATGTAAAGTATGATAGGATTCAACAAGTCCACTCCTAGTGAGAATTAAAAACAGGTGTTCAAACAAAAAGTTGTACAGGAATATTCATAGCAGCACTGTTCACAATAGCTAAGAGGTAGAAACAATTAAAATGTCAATCAACAAGTGAATAAATAAACAAAATGCAGCACATCCATGAACTGCCATATTATTCTAACATATAAATGAATAGAGTAAAATGGTGCAATCACTGTGAAAACAATATGGCAGCTCCTCAAAAAGTTAAACACAGAGTTAACATATGATCTGTCAATTCCACTTCAGGGTATTTACTCAAAATATTTGAAAGCAGGGACTGGAACAGATATTTGTACACTCATATTCATAGCAGCATCATTCACAATAACAAAAGGTGGAAGCAACCCAAGTGTCCATTGATGGATAAATGGGTAAATGGAATGTGGTATATTCATAAGGAAATATTATTCAAGGAAATATTATTTCCTTGAAAACTAAGGAAATTCTGACACGCTACAACATGGATGAACCTTGAAGTTACTATGCTAATTGAAATAAGTTAGTTACAGAAGGACAAATTATTTGATTCCACTTATATAAGGTATCCAGAGGAGTCAAATTCAAAGACAGAAAGAATGTGGTTGCAGGAGCTGAGAAGAGATAGTGTTTAATGGATACAGTTTCACTTGGGGAAAATGAAAAAGTTTGGGAGATGAATGGTGAGGATATTTTTGTAACGATGTAGATGCAATGAATGTCACAGAACTGTATATGTAAAATGGTTTAAATGGTAAATGTTATGTTATGTGTTTTTAATCACAAAGGAAAAAATGAAGTACTGATACATGCTACAACATGGATGATCCTAAGTGAAAGAAGCCATACAGGAAAGGCCACAAGGTCACATACCCATCCTGTACTTTAAATCCATCAAGATTTTGAATATGAGGCAAAGTCTCAGTTAGGGTTCCAGAGGGGAAAAAAAGAAAGAAAACTGGATCACAATGAAAAAAAGACATTTTCATAGAGTTGGAGCAGATGGTGAAAGTTGAAGTGGACCTGTGGATTGGATTATTATAAGAAATTGTAATGATTCTCATTTGGTAATTAAGTGCTTGTTCCCTGAGAGTGTATCCGTGTTTTGGTAAAACACACTGGAGTGTTTTGTGTGAAGTGCCAAATGTGAGTACTTTGTGCTGCTATTGAAATTTTTCTATACATTTGAAATTACTGGAAAATGAATTATATTTCAAAACAATCATGTCAATAAAAGGACAGAAACGTAGAGAAGACATGAAACTTTGTATAGAGGCCAAGCTTTACCCAGATCCTGCTCACCCAAAGTGATGATGCAATTCGCCCTTATAAGATTTCACATGTTTTTAAGGGGCACTGTGGGAAGATTATAATAGTAGCCACTATGTCTTGGGTGTTGTGGATGACCCGGATGTGGTAGAAATAGTGGGATTTCTAATTCCAGTTTTGTACATCAAATCACCAAGAAACTATTAGAATAAATGAATTCAGTAAAGCTGCAGGATACAAAATCAATACACTAAAATCAGTTGTGTTTCTATACACAAATAATGAACCATCAGAGAGAGAAATTAAGAAAACAATCTCATTTACAATAACGTCAAAAGAACCAAATAACTGGGAATGAATTTAACCCAAGAGTGTGAAAGAGTTGCACACTGAAAACCCTAAGACATCGATGAAGAAACTGAAGACACAAATAAATGGAAAGATATCTTGTGCTTTTGGACGGAAAGAATTAGTAGTGCTAAAATGTCCATTCTACCCAAAACAGTATGCACTTCAATGACATTCCTACCGAAATTCCAAAGGCATTTTTCACAGAAACTGAACAATCCTGACATGTGTATGGAACCACAAAAGACCCTGAACAGCCAAGGGGATCCCGAGAAAGGAGAACAGCAGCTGGAGGAAACTCACTCACTGACTTGAAACCATATCACAGAGCTACAGGAACCAAACAGTGTAGAAATGGCACTAAAAGAGGCACATGGGCCAGAGGAATAGACCAGAGAGCCCAGGAATAAGTCCATACATATGTGGTCAGTTAATTTATGACAAAGCTGCCAAGAACATACACCAGGGAAAGGTCAGTCCCCTCCATAAATTGTGTGTGTTATAAAGAGAAGGGAGAGAATTACTGTGTTGGTGACTTGGGGACATTTGGAGGAGTTTCTGACAGCGGGGATGCAATCTGTCTGTCTTTTCCCTCCTTGGTAGAAATCTCCATATGACCTGAGCCTCTCTAAGAATCCTCTCTGAATTGGGGCCTGAAGACACCAGAGCTGAGATTCAAGTTGTCTTCACAGACAGTATCTCAAGGTTGAGTATAAGTATCGTTTCAACAAGGTAATGTAAAATGCTATTTTTGCCCTTTGTTCCAAACGGGTAACAGGGGAAGTGTTGGTAGGGGCCTAGTGTTTAGAGCTATCTGATTTGACTGGACCTGTTCATTCATCCCAACTGGCCTCACACGCATTTGTGTTACTGGCAATGACCAAGCCGAATCCAGAGACTCGCTAGTGGGAAGGACACTGATGGCAACTTTCCTATTACCTGTCCTGTTGGTTTCTCTGCACTTTCTGTTCACTAGGCTGTGTCACTTCCTATGGTACCTGGGTATCAGGTTTTTAATATGGTTTTCACCAATTATGAGACTAGAAAGAACAGAAATCAGGCCATTCCATGAAAACTCTCTGAAACTGGAGGACAGAGTCACTTTCTTTATTCTCCTGGTTTAACAGGTCAATTAGTTGCTGCTCATTACCACCTAGCCCTGTTTTACCATCACACCAGTCAGTCAACTGAGATTTACCCATATTTATATTTACACTGGTTTGACCTCAAAGAGCCTTCTTGATCAAACATGTGAACGACTTCACCTCAATCTGGAAATACTGGAAAGGCAGAATAAATCCAGTTTAATGTAATTTATGTAAATAATTTATTAAAGGGAATTCCCTTAGTGGTAAAGGTCAATATTTACCATCAAGTAAAAATAAATATAATACCGATACGTGTGTTCACATGTCCAATCACGTAAGTTAATTCATGTGTCTGGCGTACATTGTCACGTGCATGCAGCCTCTACAAGTGGCTGTGCTTTTGTGTATGTTACTGTACAGAATACAGTACAGTATCTTTATTTCAAGCCCAGGATGTCCAGAAGTGAGCATAAAAGCAGTGGTGACGTAGCTGGTACTAGTGTACTTTTCAAGGTACTCTACGGCAAGATTAAAAATGTTTTCTTTATTTTCTGTGCTTGTTAGGTATTATTTGTGTGAAAGTATTATAAACCTATTACAGTGCAGTACTATATAGCTGATTGTGTTAGTTGGGTACCTAGGCTAACTTTGCTGGACTTACAAACACACTCTTGGAACAGAACTCGTTCTTATGTAGGGGACTTACTCTATATGCACATACAAACACACACACAATGACGTGGGCACACACACACGTGCACACGGGCAGACACACACCCTCTGCTAAAGTTACCAATAGCTTTTGACGTCAGTGAAACCCCACAATTTTACAAGTTTACTCTGTGGAATGATCTGGCTCTGGGTTTAAATCCTGCCTCTGGCTGTAGGACAGGGCACAGACCACTGCATCTCCTTGCACAGTTTTCCTCTTCTATTAAACAACACTCACTACAGAAGGGTTAATGTGAGGATCAGACAGAATAGTGCCTAATAAACCGGTGCTTCTCAAACTCCCAAGTGCACATGAACCATCTGGAAATCTTGTTACAATGCAGATGCTGATTCAGATTCTCAAGTGGGGCTTGACGTTCTAAGTTCCTAGGTGATGTTATGCTTCTGGTCCACGGACCAAACTTTGCGTAGAGAGGCACATACTCAAATTTTACAAAAGGGAAACCAAAATCACTATCCGGTGGTCCTGCCAGCCAAGTAAGAGAAGAAAGCTAAGAAAGGATGTTTTTTGGTGCCCAACGTGAGCTTGGCATGAACTCAGTTTCTCTAGGTGTGGAGAGGATAACACATTTGGGGCCAGGCTTTATTCTGTCCCCTCATGAGCCTCAGCATAACTTCATTTCCATTCTTCTGCCCTGGGCTAGCCAGGGGCCACAGGAACCCACAGAGATGGGGAGTCTCATACCTGTCCGAGTCTTGGCAAATCTCCACCACAGCCGCCAAGGCCTTCAAGTGCACGTTGGGTTGGCAGGAGTGGATGTAGTCAGGGAACAGCTGTTCCTGGAGTCCCCGTTCGAGGCCGTGGAATCTATAGCTACCTGGAAGAGAAGATAGGCGAATGGGTAAATTTAAAGTGAACACATTTCAGGACTTCCCTGGTGGTCCAGTGGTAATGGATCCACCTTCCAATGCAAGGGATGCGAGTTCAATCCCTCGTCAGGGAACGAAGATCCCACATGCCACAGGGCAACTAAGTCCGCACGCCACAACTACTGAGCTCGCGTCTCAAGGAGAGCCTGTGTGCCACAAACTATAGAGTCCACGCGCCCTGGAGCCCGTGTGCCACAACTAGAGAGAAGCCCAAACGCCGCAATGAAGAGACCTCGCGCTGCAACGAAAGATCCCGCATGCCTCAACTAAGACCCGATGCGGCCAAGAAAATAAATAAAATAAATAAATATTTTTTAAAAAATAAAGTGAACACATCTCGTAAGAATCGTGATCAGCCCTGAGAGAGACAAGGCCTGAGGGGGAGGAAAGCACTACGTTACACACCCTGCTGATAAGCAGAGTTAGAGAAAAAAATTCATTAGCTTTAAAAACTAGTTATTAACTTGGTCGAGGCCATTTCTGTAGTCTTCAGTCTCCCTCTCCCCCATGCCCTCTCTTCTCTGTGTCCAAAATGGAATTTGAGATTGATGTACAGGTCAGAAAGCCCAGCCGCTCTAATCCACAACGTCACCAGGCAGCAAGGTCAAGGGTGATTATCATAATTCACTAAGAAAAGTCTTCTGTGCTCTCCGGGCAGGAGGATTCCATGTCTGAGGCCTAGGTAAACTCCCTTAAAACTAAAGATGTCAAAGATGCGGTCTGTATATCAAAGCCATTGTTGTTGTTTTTTTTTTTAACATCCAACTATTACTTTGTTTATGTTACTATGCTTAATTTACATGGAAAAGACAACCAAGCAGTTCTGCCCCATATCAGGAAAAGTTTCCAATCAACACCAATTATGTGGTGACAAATAACTAGGAATGGTGGCATCTTTGGATCAAGACTGACAAGGAAGAATGGGCTCTGATGCTACAGTTCATCTCCAACAAGAATATGGCACAATGGCCAGCACAAACCATACTAACACTGAACCTTCAGCACTGGTCACAAATTTGGATCTCTTTTCTGAAGCTAGCAAATCAACTGAAATACCTGGGTTAAAAAAAAGTTTTAAAATGAAGCCCGAATTAATTTAAGAACCATGCTCTTGACACATTTTCCTTTCAGAATTTACATAAAACACTTTTTCACTCTAATAGCCCAGGGTTTTTTCCTCACATAGCCCACCATGTAGCTGCAGATAGACTGTTCTGCCTCAAGATGTAAACATAGGGGGAAAAAAAATTAACGGCATCTGCGTAATATTCTCTCTACACACTGCTGTTGAATGGGAAATAGATAATTAAAAAAAGAAAGAAAGGAAGGGAGGAAGGAAGGAAGGAAGGAAGGAAAAGAGAGAAAGAAAGAAAGGAAGGAAGGAAGGAAGAAAGAAAGAAAGAAAGAAAGGTTCCATTATAGATTCTCACAACCTCTTGTTCCACAGTTCATGAATCTTACACTGATGCTAAGGTGACAATGTATGTAAGTGGACTTTTGTTTTCAGTGAAGAAGACCTGGGAAAAAGATGGATTTATCTCTTTTTCTTCAAGAGTTATCAGATGGTGCATGCTCCCCAAAGCCCTCGCTTTCTCGGAACACACGGCCTTCCTTATAACACTGGGTGTCTTCAGTGGCAAACTCATAGATCCATCCCAGTTTGCTATTGTAGTTTTTGCAGCTCACATCTCGAACCATGTGGCAGCCAGTGAGCATGACCCGGTCTTGAACTTCACTGTACTGCAGGTTAACTACCTTGTTAAAAGGTAGTTAAAAAGAAATGCTCTGCCAGTGGCGCCTGTGAATTGAGTGGAGATGAGTTCTGAGTGGTTGGTCGGGATTGTATCGCAGTTTGCACAGGAAAACAGATGGGTACCACCGATATGATCAAGGAAAATCCTGCCCATTTTTATAGTTGAAGTTCTAAAAACCCCGAGCAGCTGAGATCCAAGGCCACCAGCGGCTCTTCGGTCTTCGGCTGAGATGAAGCCTCAAAGCCGTTGTTACTTTCATGAGTGGCAAGTTGCAAAGAGATGCGTTGAATTGGTTATAATAAAATTTCTGCCAGAAGAAGCTCTGTGTAAGGCTCCATTCATGTAAAAACTCCTGCCCACGCCAGAGAAGATGCCTGAATGCTATGTCATTGTCAGCGGCAAGTGGAGAAGAGAAACCTCTGCAGACAGAGGTCACCAAGTTGTCATTATCTTTGAAATTCCTAAATTTTTTCTGACCGCCAACATCATCATCATCTAAATAAAAGTTGACTCACCCAACACTTCTTTTTTTTAACATATATATATATTCTTTTTCATATTCTTTTCCATTATGATTTGTCACAGAATATTGAATATAGTTCCCTGTGCTATAAGTAGGATCTTGTTGTTTATCCATTCTGCACACAATAGTTTGTCTCTGTTAATCCCAAACTCCCATTCTTTTCCTCCCCTCCCCCCTACCTTGGCAACCACAAGTCTGTTCTCTATGTCTGTGAGTCTGTTTTTTTCCATAGATACATTGATTTGCATTGTATTTTAGATTCCACATATACGTGCTATCATATGGTATTTGTCTTTCTCTCTCTGAATTACTTCACTTAGTATGAAAATCTCTAGGCCCATCCATGTTGCTGCAAATGGCATTATTTCATTCTTTTTTTATGGCTGAGTAGTATTCCATTGTACATATGTACCCCATCTTCTTTATCCATTCATCTGTCAATGGACATTTAGGTTGTTTCCATGTCTTGGCTATTGTGAATTGTGCTGCTGTGAACATAGAGGTACATGTATCTTTTCAAATTATAGTTTTGTCTGGGTAAATGCCTAAGAGTGGGATTGCTGGATCGTGTGGCAACTCTATTTTTAGTTTTTTGAGGAATCTCCATATTGTTTTCCATAGTTCACCCAACACTTCTTAGCAACAACAACGACAAAATGATTAAGCCTGGGGAGTGGGGCTAAACCGGGAAGGCTCATTTCTTCTGATTTCTAACATCATCACCATTTCAGTGAAAGTTAGCCCAGCAAACACCTCTCCAAAGAAATGCATAAGCTTGGGGGTGGAGAGTGGGGAGAGAGGGATTAAAATGAAAGGAGTTGTAGAGAAAGAAAGGAGTGTTCGTGGTGCATCCAGCCCAGCGGAGTCCATTCACTGGCTGACAGATGACAGAACAGCTCTATTTTCTCTTAAGATCTTTTGAATGCGAAACATTATTTTGTATAATTTTTGGCAAAATTCCATTATAACAAATAACTGGCATATCCCATTGGACTTAAGGTGGGATGTTAGCTCTGGAAGGACAGTGGAAAGGGGCTACGTGCTCTGTGTCTGCTTCTGAGGGACCCGATGCTAAGAGCAATGTTGATGGAAAAAAAATGCCACCATGTCTTATACTGTAAGCCTGCAATCAAACCAAAGTAACTAAAAGAGAAAAAACAATAGGCTAACAGTAATTCACTTACAACCTCTCTTTTTTTCTTTCGTAAAGTTTTTTTTTTTTTCTCATCACTGAGTTTTCCCCCTTTTCATCCTTACCGCTCCACAGGACTATGTTGAAAATAAATTTAGGCAGGATTCACATTCTATTTTCAGAATCTCCAGATGTTTTCAACAAGGTAGTACAAAGTGATAAAATGCTAGTACTAAGTGTTTCAAAAGGAAAGGTCGTGTGAAGAAAAATTGTACAGTATTTCCCCAACCCTTAGACGCTCTTACTTTGGACAACAAAGGGAAGAAGGGAGGGGTAACCTCTGTTAAAATCCTACTGTGTGTCAGACACCTGTGCTGACTGCTTTATAAGCACTGTGTTATCTCATTTTCATGAAAACTCTGCAAGGTAGAGATTGTTATTCCTTTTCATTAATGAAGAGCCTGATACCCAAAGGTGATGAAAATCACAAGGTCGTAGGGGATGGAGCTGGGTTTAAACCCAAGTCTACATGGTTTCAAAGACTTTACTTCTCCATGGTGTCATTATACACCCAAGAGAATGAGGAAGTCTGTGACCAGCATATCCAGACATCTCATGGGTATGTTTTATTTCTATAAAGAATGAGGGGATTTGGCCTGGAGGCAGGGAGACTAACCAGGAGACAACGACAGTAATTTAAGAGAGAAGAAATGTCTTGAATAAACAGCTCTTTAGAACAAGTGAGACACAGTATATTCTGAGACAGATTTTTATCCTGAAAGTGAAAGCCAATCCACTGGAAAAAAGAGAGGAAGACAACAGGCGAAGGGCCTTTTTGTCATGAACTGTGTGAAAAGCTAGTGGTGGCGGGAGCCTACATGCATTTTGTGAACAAGAAGAAGGTGTAAAGCACTCCGGGACCCACCCACGGGGCCCCAGCCAGATAGAGGTCTGGATACATGCAGACAATCCCTGGAAAACTCCAAGAAGAACACTCAAGAGGTACCTGAGAGACAGTGTTTGGAGAAATCAAACATCTCAGGGCCTCCTGGATTTACTAAGCTCCAACACAAACCCACCATTCTCTGCCTTTTTGTCCTGAGGAGGCACACTTAAGAGATCATGTCACCTCACGTATGTGTACATAGTGTTTAAAAGGTAAAAATAGTGCTGGGAAGGCTAGAAGTAAAGCCACCTCTTTCTCTCCTACTAAGGAAAGCAGCTTAAAACTCCAGAGAATTCTAGAGAATGCAAGGATGTTATTATGAAGATAACCTTGACTCTGCTCTGATTTATTAATATCACTGCAAGTATTGCAAATCATTGGCAGGTGTTGATACTTTATTATTAATAACAAGTACCTGTGACTCCTGTCACTTCTGTTTATGATGCCCCTCATTGTTAGGCATCTCACTCTATTTATGTTTCTTTCTTCCTTTCTTTCTTCCTTCCTTCCTTCCTTCCTTCCTTCCTCCCTCCCTCCCTCCCTCCCTCTCTCTCTCTCTCTCTCTCTTTCTTTCTTTCTTTGCCATGACATAT